GCGATAAGAAATAATTGTTGCATGATATTCATCAAAAAGCTGACTAGCAAGTAGGTGTGAATAAATTTTTTAACCAGATAAAAAACTCAATTCTTATCAACCTAATGTGATAATCATAAATTGAAAAAATTTTCTATGAAATAATAGACACGCATCTTTTAAACTATGATTACTGTATAGAGTAACTTTTAAAATTGAAGTTTAAAAACAAATTTCTAAAAAAGTGGTGGAGCAAAGAATAAGTGTTGCCACGGTTTAAAAACATCAAGCAGCACATTTCCAGTACTGTAAAAAATAAAAAAAACAAGGAAGCTTTTCGTTGTGTCTTCTACAGCCTCCAGAAATTCACCCTAATTAATAACAATTTTTAAAAAAATTTGAAAATTTGTCATTAGAAAGAAAAACGCATAAATCAAAGCATTTGAAAGCGGCATAAAAAAATCTTTCAACCTTTAAATCTACAGATTTTTACAAAATTGCTATATTGAAACCTTTTTACTTCAGCAACTTTGTACTGGTCTTTACGTCTTCTGTTCTAACTTGATACCTCAAGTACTGGTAAAGTCAACATCCTTTGAAGTAAAGAACAAAAAATGATGAGTTTCTACATCCTATGATTTTAATCTATCATATAAAAGTGCATATTCATATGCAATTTGTAATATTTTTTTATATCCTATAAAAACACAGATATATCAACTTGCAAAATTTATTCCCATACTATAATTGATTATAGATGTCGGACTCACAAAGGCATCATCTTACCTTACACATAGGTAGCAATACTGACGTCGTCAATAATGACAACGGTATGTCTTAATGCACCACTAGTCTATTTTTTCTACAAAAATATTCCCTTCAAATACAATTGAACCAGGTGTAGGGTTAAATATTACCGATGCCTAAGATTTTTTTCTTTATAATTTGCCAGTCAAAAAAACTGAAAATAAGTGAACTTAAATCATAGAATTTGATCATAAAGCTGCCGCCAACTATCAGAAGTGCTAAAGTAAAAAACAAAAACTTTTGCTCAAAACGTCAAAATAACTAAATGCATAAACGTAAATCGTTTTATACACCAACGAACAGCTTAAAACCGACATACTGCAGGTATCACTACGGCAGTAAAAAAAAAGCTAATTTATTGTAAACTTATCAAACGATCCCACTTTTATTTGGTCATTTAAAGAGTACCTTTTCCTAACCAGTAGAATACGTCTGTCCATTTTTAATTCCCGTTATTCTTCTACGTGTATTTTTGTACTCAACTACGTTCTATTAAACAAAGTGGCTTTGAGTCGAAATTACAAAAAAAAGTATCTATAAAATATTACAGTTTTCTGAAAATAAAGAAAACGGTACATTATGCAGATTAAATAATTTTTGCCAAAACTGTTAACAGCTGTTATAAAGAAAATGTGCAGTGCTGACAACCATACGTTCAATAAAAAAAAGTCTGTAGCTATTGGTAAATTAAATGACTATCAGTAAAACTTCACTTTCTTACAATCATAGCTTTATGCTGACCATCCCAGTAAAACTACTGTGCTAGTTCACCGTATGCTTAATCCTTTGTAACTTTCAACTACGTGTTCTTGGTTCATCATTTGAGTGGTGGTGCAGACTGAAAAGTGCAAAGTAAAATTTTTCGTAAAGTTTGTAAAAGTTTCTGTTTTTGATCTTTTTCTATTATAACTAAGTGACACTAACTAATAAAAAATATTTAGTTGAATAATCGACACTTTTGTCGCAACCGCTCACCAAAGGCACCGTAATGAAATAAAGGTCACTGTAGGTGCCTGACGGGAGCTCCCAAAGGGGTTGTAGGCTGGACGCCTGAGCGGACGAAAGCGAGGTATAAAAGAAGCAGTAATTAGGAGACAGTTCAGTGTTGCTGTTATTAGGGTTCAAGTCGTGCTTCCAATCGATGCTGATTTCTCATCTGCGGCTGCCTACCTCAATTGATATTACTGTCTTCTGTCGATACGTGCTTAGCAGGCAGCTTTTGATCTGTTTAATTG